GGCGTTTGTAGCTCAACTGGAAGAGCACAGGCTTCGGGTAAAGGCCTTCTTTTGTATGCGGGTTTAAATTCCGCCGAACGCCGCGAGATTTTTTTACAATTGGGTCAGTTTAAATTAAGCTAATCTGCCAAATCTTCTAAATACTTAAGATAAATGATTTAATTTGACTAGAAATGAAAGGTGTCACTTTCTTCTGATACTGAATTATTTTCCAGGATTTTTTATGAGCACGCGAATGCAAAAGCGAGGATCTTTATACGGCCTTTTTGAACTAATTCATACTTTTTTGTCTGCTACGTTTCTACATAACGGATTATGTGAAAGTATCGGGTAAATTCCCTTTACGATAGCATGTGTGGAGAGTTATGGATATGTTCCATCAATGCGATGTAGCAAAACAAAAGGCGATGAAAAATGTCTTGTTACTGCTTTTCTTGGAAAAGAGATCACAGGTTAGCATAGCATCAGTAGTAAATTTCAAATTTTTCTGTTTTGCTAAAAATTAATGCAATTCCTTGGACTCATTGGCTTCTGGACGATTTCAGACAGCATTTTCCGGTTCTGTGAGGGACATATTTTGTACTTTCCCTTACAAACTTTGAATATCTTCCATAACATGATGCATCCTACTAAAATATGTAATTCTATCGTTATAAATAACGTAGGAAAATCCGTTAATATGAGACTACTCCCAATTTCTCAAACATTAATGCCACTACCTTTAGTAAAATTAATTGATCAAAGTAATGTGACCGTACATATGCCGAATTACAAAACCAAATATCGTCATAACTGTTTCGTTCACACTTTAGCCGACCGTAGTGCTGCATATGCTCACATGTAGTTATTGTTTGGTTCAAAACCGCGTTCTTTAACCACATGTTGTGTTAAATCGCCTTAGGTTGGCTTGTTTTCTTCGAACGCGTAAGCCCCTATTGTTGTAAGCCGTGACTGTCTCCTGACAAGTAGGCCCATAAAAACACCTATGTGATAGTTAAATTGATATTCTGGTTTGCTGAACAGTCGGTCGACATATATGATTCCTTTTTCTGCCTTGATATATGATCGCCACCTCGGCCCACAGTTGCACTGTCGTCAAAATTGAAGACGTGTCTTATCTTTTCAGCATTGGCTCCTACCTCATTACCGGTTCTAAAAGTTCATACAGCCAGCTGACGCTCAAGCTTGTAGCTAAAGAAGCATAATTATATCCAACTTACCGACTAACATGCTGCAATGAGTTTCTATAAATCGGTATAGCGTGCGCATACGATTTCGCTTCTGCTATATTATGTGACTGCTATTGTAACTTTTTTCAGTTTTCGGCAAATTAAAATCCCCATTTTTGCGCCGGAATGGGGATCATATTTGGAGTGCCGTTGCCTTGCTCATATGTAATCCATTTAAATATGAAGAATGTCGTTTGGTAATGCTCCACGAGTTCTACGACATAGTGAGCTGTGGGCGACCTTGGTTCTGACCCTTATGCTGACATAAAGTATCATCGATTAGCTTGACCGCAAGGGCCTCTGGCATGCATGTGAAGACCGATTTAATGTCAAGTGAAGTCTGCAGCCACCTAATAAACCTCTCTCCGTGAAAACTGCTTATAATTTTGACTAACAACATGAAAATTGTATCTGTCATACCGCCTCTGAATGAGTCTATGAACCTTATTATTTACAGATCCTGTGTCTAAACCAATACATATAACGATTCTATGTGTTCTCAAAAAACTTTGTCTTATTGAATACTCATTTAAATGATACAGTGAAGGCCGGATGATACATAAAATATGCGCTAAGGACCGCGTAAACTTCATGACCTCGTATGGATACATATAATTACAGTGCTTATTTTGATCAGCTGAGTAGATTTAATTTGAAAAAGTCACTTTTAATTAAAGATATGAAGCGAACTAGGCACTAATTTTGGACAAAGCATGAGTAGATTTTTATCGAAGGACTTTCCTATGCTATCAAATTAGATAGAAACAAACTTTTAATTAATGTGCACTGTGCTATGGATGAATTCTGAAATTATTTATTTCAGAACTACAAGATTTTGTCTGATGTTGCCCAAATAGAAGTAAAGCAAATTTCATGGAATGGCATGCATTTCAGAAAACGGCAAAAATTTGATTTTAAGAATCATGTTTTGCGAACCTGTGACGTTTTCTCGCAGTAGCAAAATGTTTACCTCGCGTTCTATTTTACCGCACGGCTCACTTTAGCATAAAGCAATGCTCGCATATGACACTGTAAAGGTCATGTAAAAAAGGCCTTATTGAACGTAAGTCATTTAGAAACATACTGTTATGTAAACTATGCGTTCCGTCTATGCGTTATTTAGAAAAAAGAACACACCGAAGTATAGTAAGGATTTCAAAAATGGCCAGTTGTTTTTGCGTTTGCAAAAATATAACAGTTTGCAGAAAGAATCCACTTATAAGGAATGTTATCAATTTTAAAAAGAAAAGCAATTTCTTTCGGTTCTTATCAAATAAAATCCTGTATTTTCAGGTAACTGAAAGAAATTGACAAAAGGCTCCAATTTCATTCTGACCTTGCCTTGAAAAAAGTAAATATACACAGAAAATCGTCAGCCGAATATCTAATCAAAGTACTATTTAAGGAAGTAACCCATAATGGAAAGTTTTTTTTACTAATAAAATAGTCGCCGTCTCTTAAACCCAACTCGGA